CATTTATGCTCACGAAACCATAAACTAAACAACAATCGTGCACAAATTAGGTCTCTTTTTCTATTCATCCAGTTTTAGATTGAAGAACTTATATATGGATACTCATCTTAAACGTGGACAACTGTTTTGTAAAATAGAAGTGTACAACGGACCCTGTAATCTATAATTGTAATTGAGGCTATATATTCCATGACAAATTTCTGGACTAATCCTTTAACTGGTTACGGGGTGGCCCTGTTTGGTTGCCCTCTTCTCTGGGTTAGCTCAAACAAAAAGCCATCAAACACAATCTGCATCCATCATCATAATATAATTATTTAATAGGGGTATAAGAGATAACTTGTGTGATATGCAAAATTTTACAAAGCCTTTATTATGGTTGTTGGCAGATGATACATGTAAATTACAGTAATCTATAACCTTTTCATCCATATGCCTATATATATATATTCGCAACGAAAGTTTTCAATTAGCGTTGACTAAGACAGCAACAATACGGATCTCAACTTTCTTCTCAAAACATTGGCATTGTACATGTCTCTTTACTGGCGCTTTAGCCCGTAATGTGAAATGGTGGATCGCCGATCCGCCGTCTGCCGACCCGCCATCCGCTGATCCACCGTCCGGAGTTGTTGTACTAGACCCAAAGGATCCCAAAGTGGTGTCCGTCAGCAAAAACGCCGTGTCCTGGTCGGGAGACAATTATACGTTTGAATCGGTAGTTTATTGCCAATACGAATTCATACCAGACGGCGGCTACTACGATTGGAAGCTTGAAATTCAAGCCAAAGATGAGGGCGATTCAAATCGTTACTTAGCTAGGGTGGTATCAATCAAACCTTTTGATAAGTTCTCGCTTATATCCTGGAAACTATTAGACTAGTTAGATTGATCGACTGTATATGTCGTATGTACTTCCAATGTATTTTAAAAGAATTATATTCTAAAGAAGGAAGAAGTTGGGTTTAAGATTGTTATCTTTTACGATTTTTGTTCCTCCATCGATTATAGTAATTATATAAAATATAATTGATGAACCTATTATTCTCCATCGATTATAGTAATTATATAAAATATAATTGATGAACCTATTATTCAATCCGTTGTTTTGTAATTCGTAAAATCAACAGTTTAATAAGAAGATACTCTTTCTGTCTCAAAATTATTGTTCAGTTTAGATTTTCACTTTTAGTTTAATATGTACTAAAAATGAAAATTTAAACTGGAGAATAATTTCATAATGAAATATTAGAAATTTTTTTTTTTTCAAATGGATTGTAATGTTTGGAACACGTACAAAGAGCGAGTGAGCTTTAAGAAGGAAAAAATGTTCCTATTTAAGATAGTGGTTAAAGTAAAAAGAAAATAAAAAAAAAATCTTGAACTGTTATCTATCCAAGAAAAAGTTGACCCACTGGGAGTACTTTAAGTGATGTCTATGCAGATTTTCAGTCAAGAGGTGAGAGACAGTCCCGGAGGTCAGCTTACAGCCTAGGAGGACGCGTAGAGGCGTTCACGCGTGGATCCTAATAATAATTTCCCCTTTTCCATTAAACCTCACATATGTAATAACATAGGATACTTATAATGGTATATATATATATATATATATATATATATATATATATTTAAAAAGAAAAAATTGACCAAAAAAGTAAAGAATAATTATGGAGATAATGGAAATCGAATTTTTGCTGCCACCATAAAAAAATCGGCGGTGCAGTGACTATGAGGGCAATGGAAGTGACTGTAAGCAATAATTATAAAGTACTCTTTTTTTTTTGAATTTTTTTAAAATTCACGTCTTTCTTTTATTCCCATTGGCTACTACATAACATATCGATTCTGATTGCTAGATACTGTTTTCCTTGTCACATGTTTTTTTCTCCTTGTAAAATAGAATTGAAAATATAGAAATAGTCCATAAGCCAAAATTTGGCAAAATTAGAAAAAAAGGCAAACTATATTTTACCCCCCGAGTTTTGACTCTTTAACCAAATACCTCTCGAGTTTTGGTGTTACTACATTTTCCCCCTTTGACTGGGTGAAACGTTAAGTCAACGTCGGAAAATTGTGAAATGACAAAAAAGTCTCCGATTAGACCAACCAATTAAATAAAAATATTTTAAAAAGTTAATATAAAAAGACTATACTACCCCTGTCTTCCACCCAACCAATCTATTGTTTTTTTTTTCGGCCACCATTTTTTACCGACACAAACTATCCTACTTTTTCTTTTCTAATACCATGTTGGTCTTCATTGTCCTCTTCATTATTTCTCTGTTTTGAGATAAGAAAACCTAATTCCACCATTATCTAAACTAATTTTTAACCGCAACACATTAGAATTGAGTCAAAAAATCAAATAAATTATACAACTTCATAGAGAAAAGGAAATTTAAAGCCGGCCCCTCTCAACCCGAAGACCTATGTCGATCTACCACTGTTACTGATGTTTTAGCTAGCTGTGATGCCGTCCCTTGATTAATTGTTAAAAGAGATGAGAAGAATAGGGCAGAATGGATTCGATCATTCGAATATAATTGAAATTTAACTAGTGATTTTTCGTTTTGGCAAAACTATGCTGGATTTTTATTTTTTAATCCAACTTTGTAAAGCAGCAACTGACGGATGCAACGAGCAAGTTTGGAAGTGGCTATGAATATATTTTATGTGCGGAGGAGATTATAGTTGGATGGTGGAGAGAGGGATGTGGATTTGTAGACGGCGCATATGGTGGGGGAGGGGAGGATGAAAGGGGGCATATTATTTGGATGGTGATGAAGAATTCCGTGAGGATGAGAACTGCATTTGGCTTTTGGATTTTATTTTTTATTTTTTTTTGGCTTTTAAAAATATGAGGCTTATTTTTTTATTTTTTATTTTTTTCTTAAAAGATCTTATAGCTAGGTATTTTTGTCAGTTCATGCTAAAAGTTGGATGATATCAGCTGCTGACATTATTCTCCGGTGAGAAAGTGTTCAAACGGTTAGAAAGATCAAAGCTCAAGGGAATATTTGTAGTATGATAAAAATTCGAGGGGGATTTTGTTAAAGGGCTAAAACTCGGGGGGTAAAATGTAGTTCGCCCAAAAAAAATCTAATAATCCGACACGCCTTAGAACTCATCAATAATTAACACAAAAAAAAAAGAACGAAAGTATAACATCACCAGAGACCGAATCATCATCCCGATAAATGAATAAAGTTTAATGAATTTCCTAAAATACTAATTAAAAAGAAAAAGAGAAAATTATTGAAAGATATTTGCATCACTCATACTATAACGTAAATATATACAGTGTATATTCGTCTGCATTTAATTGAAAGATTTTTTGGGTGTAACATGATTATCCTCTACACACACATATATATTTATTAAAAAGTCTATTTATCAAAATTCTATTTAAGCGCATTACATCCTTTACATAAAACAACTTCATTTTTACAATCTCCCAATTCCTGAGTAATATGGCTTCTAATATTCCATCTCTCCTAAAAATAATGGCACTCTTTTGCTTTCTTGCCGTTGCTTTGGCCGACACGGGGTTCATTGACGTCGATCCAAAGACGCCGCTCGTGAATTCGCTCGGAAGCTCCTCAGTTAACTTACACAACATCCAAGCACACACCAATTTAGAGTTTGAGACTGTGTTGAAGGCACGGTATAAAGGTACATCTTTCATGACGATTATTTGGGAGTTTACAATTCAAGCCAAAGATGCGGGTGGGAGCCATTGCTACCGGGCCACTTTCGAGGTTGATTTTCAACAAAGCGGAAAGCTTACTTCCTTCACCCAAATAGACTAAATTACAGAGCATTTAATGTAGCGATTTCGTTTGATTATATGTATCAACGTTGTTATGAAATGATGTTTTAAGAGACTTATTAACGTCGTCAAGGTTAAGGTTAAGCATTTTGACACTTTAATTGTCTTTAGTGAGTCTTGATTTGATGTTCAGTTCTAATCTTTCGGGGCTCGTCCAGATATTGGTATATATTTACTTTATCCCAAGATAATTATCTAGTTTGAATTTTTAATTTTAATATAAATAAAACTAAAAGTAAATATTTAAAATAGATAATAATTTTTGGACAGAGGGAGTATGTTTTGTGGTTTATTACTTTGCCTATTATCCATCCTCATTCTGATTAGTAGGACGCTAAAAACTTGGAAAAAGCAAAAAAAAAAAAAATCGAATGTGAAAAGTAGGGTATTTTAAATTAATCTCGTACATGGTTTATATATATCAATTAGGATACGTGACATATATTTAATTATTATCATAGAGAGTATAACACAAAATAACACTTTTTTTTTAATATCAAATCTTCTATTACATGGACTTTATTCTGTTTCACTGAAGTATATGTTAAGTCACCAATTGGAAATTAAATGACAGTCAAGTGGTTATTATATTTTTTTATATTAAAGTATCTTCAATGCTTTATACTATAGTGTTATAAATTTTTAATATTATGTTTTTATTCATCTTTTCACAATATTGGTTTACAGTATGAAAGTATAATAAAATAAAATAATTTTATTATTATCACAAATTCACATTAGTTATAATTTAATTCTAAGGAGTATAATATATGGTGTAAGAATTCTTACACCGTGGAATATAATCACACTCAACGCAATGATATATAGTATAATAAAGTGGTTATTTACTAATTATTTATCATCGTTGTGGATACTCTTATACACCTTGAGTTTAATTCCCACCAAGATATATTTAAAGAGGGATTTTTACCTACATTTAAATGAGGTCTATCGAGATAGATTTTTTAAGAATTTTTTTTTATGTCACCAATTTATTACAATTGGCCTTACTAACTTATCAACAATTAATGAAAGCATTGAATTTCATTTATTTTGGGCGATTAAGCAACAAGATTACATTTTAATACATACTACATAATTAGTTAGGAAGACTATGCTCCTACATTATAAATAATAGTGTTTGCAATCACACAGAGTAACAAACACTCACCGTATACTTCTCTCCACCTCGAACAGTTGATCTTGATTCCTGACTATGGTTTTCCAGGTTCAATCTCAAGTATGGGCACTTTTTTGTCTTCTTACCACCGCTTTCGCCGGTACGTTTGATCCAGACTTTCAAGACGTCGATCCGAAGCAGCCGGAAGTGGTGCGGGTCGGAAAATCAGCCGTAGGCCAATACAACATGGACCAAAAAGCCGACTTGAAGTTCGAGACTCTGGTGAAGGCACAATACAAAAAATCGCCCTTCTTTGAGCATTTTTGGATTCTTGAGATTCAAGCCCAAAATGCGGCTGGTGAGACGCATCGTTACGAGGCAAAACTCTACTCGCCATTACGTCAATATGAGGCTGAAGTTACTTCCTTTACCCAAATAGATTAATGTCATACATTAATTTTGTGACTTCATTTCAATAGGTGTCAACTATCAAATGTTATGAAATGATGCCTTAATTTGAAGATAAACAATAACTGTCGAAATGAAGTTTCTTTTTGGCTCTTTGATTAATTTTCTCTAGTGATGATATCATATGATTTTTTTAAAAAAATTATTTGTGTGATATTGGTCGGAAATTTTGGTTTTTATCCATCTTGATCTTAATTGAAAAAATCATCAAGAACTCGAAAAACTAAAAAGAAGAAAATTCTCGGATATGAAAAGCGAAAATCAGTATCTACTACAAGTTGGGGAATTGCCTCTGTTTGTTTGTTTCTTTTTTTTTTCATGATTTTTTCAGAAAAATATAATAACAGCTATCCTATCTTAAGATATCCTTTTATATTTTTAATACACCTTTTTACATTATCAATAAAAAAATACATAGTAATACACATTAAAAAACGAAACAAACATACTTATCACCAAAATGAATACATACCTTATTGATTTATCATTTCATTTGATTGTGTTCAAATGTTATTATATGAAAGGATGTCTTGAAATTTTTTTTTTATAAAAGCAGTCAAACTAAGTTTGGCAAATTATCCAGTATACCCGGGGGCACCGTGCCCCCCTCCTATTTTTTACATTTTTAGTCCTTATTATACTTTTTTCTCAATCTTTCTATATTTTACACGTTTAATCCCTGTGAGTTTTTTTCTCTCTCTTCCAAAAAAAACATCCATAATCTTTAAACGACCATATCTCCCAATCCGTGAAGAATTTGTGAACGAATTATATATGAAATTTATAGTACTCGTCGAGATCTATTCAACAAGATCCATATCCAATATTTTTTTCTAACTTAAAAATGATCAAATTTCTTTGGGCAGAATTAAGTTGGATATCCAGTACAAACAAGTTGGATAACCAACTTGTTCTAAATTAGTTATCCATCGTGTTCATGCTAATTATTCAATCGGTTTGAAGTGGTTATCCATTTTGTTTCTACTGCTTATCCATTTGGTTATCCAACTTCTTAATTCAAAATAAGTTGGTTATCCATCTTCTTAAACTGGATATCCAATGTGTTCATATTGATTATCCAATGCGCTAATCTTGGTTATCCAATGGACTTACATGCTTATCCAAATTATTTGTCTTGGTTATCCACTTGTGTTCATGCCGATTATCCAACTTGTTTGTCTTGGATATCCATCCATTTGGTTTGTATGCATATCCAACTCTAATCTTTCAACGAGCATATCTCCCAATCCGTGAAGAATTTGTGAACGAATTATATATGAAATTTATAGTACTCGTCGAGATCTATCCAATAAAATCCACAGTGAACATTTTTTCGGGCTTAAAAATGACTTAATTCTGACGGGCAGAATAGAGGTGGTTATCCATCTTTTTTTTTTTTTTGAAGAGTGAATGTCAAACATATGATTGGATAACAAGTACGAACCGAATGGATAATCACTCTAAACCGGTTGGATAATCAGCATGAACACAATGGATAACCATTTTTCAAAGAAAAACAAAAAACACATTTCTTCATTTCTGCCCGTAAAATTTAAATGCATTTAAAGTTCAAAAAAATAATCAACATGGATCTTATCGGATAGATCTCGTCGAACACTATAAATTTCATATATAATTCGTGTTATAATTCTTTACGAATCAAAAGATACAAGGAACACAACAATATGAATGTGAAATAAGTTGGTTATCCATCTTCTCAAATTGGATATCCACTGTGTTCATATTGATTATCCAATGCGCTAATACTGGTTATCCAATGGATTTACATGGTTATCCAAATTGTTTGAACTAGTTATCCAATGTGTTCATATTGATTATCCAATGCGCTAATACTGGTTATCCACTGTGTTCATGTTGATTATCCAATTTGTTTGTACTGGATATCCACTGTGTCCATGTATATCCAACTCTAATCTTTCAATGAGCATATCTCCCAATCCGTGAAGAATTTGTGAACAAATTATATATGAAATTTATAGTACTCGTCGAGATCTACCCAACGAAATCCACAGTGAACATTTTTTTGGACTTAAAAATGACTTAATTCTGACGGGCAGAATAGAATAGAGGTGGATATCCATCTTTTTTTTTTTTTTGAAGAGTGAATGTCAAACATATGATTGGATAACAAGTACGAACATAATGGATAATCACTCCAAACCGATTGGATAACCATTTTTCAAAGAAAAACAAAAAACGCATTTCTTCATTTCTGCCCGTAAAATTTAAATGCATTTAAAGTTCAAAAAAAATATTCAACATGGATCTTATCGGATAGATCTCGTCGAGTACTGTAAATTTCATATATAATTCATGTTATAATTCTTTACGAATCATTAGATACAAGGAAAGGAATAATATGAATGTAAAATAAGTTGGTTATCCATCTTGATTATTTATGTTAATACTGTTTATCCAACTAATTAGTATTATTTATCCAACCTGATTTTTCTTTTTATTATTTTTTAAAAAAATAATAAACTAAGTTGGTTATCCAACTCGTTTGTATTGGTTATCCAATCATTGGTTTGTACTGGATTATCCAATGCGCAAATGCTGGTTATCCAATGGATTTACATGGTTATCCAAATTGTTTGAACTGGTTATCCACTGTGTTCATACTGGTTATCCAACTCGTGCATACTGGTTATCCAACTTACTGGATATCCAACTTATTCTGCCCATCAAAATTTAGTCATTAAATATTCGAAATGGATTTCGTTGGATAGATCTCGACGAGTACTATAAATTTCATGTATAATTCGTTCACAAATTCTTCACGGATTGGGAGATATGCTCGTTGAAAGATTAGAGCTGTTTTTTTTGAAGAGAAGGAAAAAAGTCACAGGGACTAAAATTACAAAATATTGAAAGATTGATAAAAAGGTACAATAAGGACTACTCGTGCAAAAAATAGGAGGGGGGCACGGTGCCCCCGGGTATACTGGATACAGCCTCTCTAATGGCTCCTTAACTTTCGATGGTTTGAACCTCAGTTCTCTGCTTTTGGGGCTCTTGGTTACGTAAGAGCTTATTTTTTCTTTTCAAAAAAGTTTTCTGTGGTTTAAAATTGTGCCGAACTCCCGATTATCCCTCGCCATTTCGATCGATTATTGGAGAAATTGATAGAGAAACGGAAAAAAAAAAAACAGAATTAGAAGGTAGAAGAAAAAAGGAAATTATCAGATTTCTTAAAAAGAAGAAGACAAAAGTCTTTAAAAAAAATAATTAATTAATTTTTTTTTAAGAAACAAACTTTTTATTAAAATTGCTAGAATTAAGCCAACTTTGATTGATACAGAAATTTTAGAATAGTTAACCAATTTTTTCAGGTCCCAACATTGGGATTTCTAATGGGTAGCAATAACATGTGCTAATCCACTCTTTAAACGGGAAATCTAATACAAGGCTCTATTAACAAAGATCTAATCTCAACAAGTATTGGCACACAAAGTGATGAGCACCGCTGCTGAGATAGCAACTAAATAATCTAAAATGGTAGCATTTTGGATCTCAAGATCTTTCAAAACAGTAGAGCTCCCTTAAAGGCCATAAACTCAACTAATTCAGCAGATTGGAATCCTTGCACATAACGCCCTTGTGCAAGTTTGAAACCACCGTCTTCATTTCATTTGTACATACACGCCAAGATCTAGAAAATTAATTATTATTATTTTTATCACATTGTGTTCCAACCAAAGAGAGGATAGATACTCAGATTGAATGGAATTAGGATAGATTGTTTGCATTGTGGTTTATGGAGGATTGATTTTACGAAAATGTACAATAAACCTCTCGGCCAAACTAAGAAAATATCTCCAAAATTGCATATTTATCCTCTAAGTCTCCAGGTTCTCCAATTTCTCCCACTATACTTATCAATCCTTGATTTTCAGCCCTTTGTACCAGCCATAAAATAGATAATGGAGTGTTGGTGTAGATGACGGTGTGTCAAACTGGTATTTAAGGAAAGATGGTAATGGTTGCTGGTGCAAAAGTGGTGGTGGGGCAATTTTTTTTTTTTTTTACGTACGATTACGTAAGACCTCCTGACAGGTGTAAGTAAACATGCACAAACTTAACACTGAAAGTATTGTTAGCGGGGTTCGAATCTGGGTCTCCCAACTTGGATGCCAAATCCCAAACTACTGGGTCACCCCTTTGTTGGCGTGGGGCGACTATAATAGCTGAAGAAGGAAGAAATCAGGGACATGGAGGAGGAGAAGGAAGGGGAAGGGGAAATGGTTTTTTTTTTTTTTTTTTAAAATAAAATCAATATGCTTTTTTATATTTTATTTTTAATGTTGAATTGAAATTTTATCAGAATATTATATTCCAAAAAAATCTATTTAATTAACAACAAAAATCATAATTAAACCATTTCAACTCTTGAACCAAACAACGTTATTGGTTTCATGAACTTCATTATTCAAATCCATTCCGTCATTATTCAAATCCATTTTCTGAATCTGTTTCCAGCTGACAAAACAAACGCCTCCCAATTCTAGAAAATTGGTGTTAGTGGAGAAAGATTTTGTGGTAAAAAACATGCTGCCAAATTTACTAGAGTCTTACCGCTTCTAGAAGAGAAATAATCGGTGGACTTTCTTCGATACATGGCAGTTGGCAGATAAATGCAGATTATAGTAATCTATAACCCTTTTTACCATGCCTATATACATTCACAAAAAAAAGACAATGTTGAGTAAGATGGCAACAATGAATCTTAAATTTCTTCTCAAAACAGTGGCAGTGTAGTGTCTTTTTGCTGGCGCTTTAGCCCAAGATATGCAATGGTCGAAGGCCGATCCACCGGCTGCTGATCCACCGTCTGTCGACCTGCCGTCTGTCGACCCGCCGTCCGGCGTTGTCGTACTAGACCCAAAGGATTCAAATGTAGTGTGCCTTGGAGAAAACGTTGTGTCGTGGGCTAGAACCAATGTAACATTTGAATCTGTAGTTTACTGCCAATACAAATTCATACCAGACGGCAGCTACTTAGATTGGAAGCTTGAAATTCAAGCCAAAGATGAGGGTCATTCTCATCACTACTTAGCTAGGTTGAAAT